CCCTTTTCTTTTGAACAAAGAGAACAAATAACATTCTGGAAAACTCCAGCCAAAGGACCAATCAGCTGACAAGAAGGCTGAAACCTCAACAGTATATACCCCTACTTGATTCAAGGTTTAAATTCCAGAGTGCAGGATCAATCAATCTCTTCCCCTTTGGTTTTAACATCTGTAAGGAGAGGCCCGTTTCACATGAAATGCTAAAAGAAAGCTAGCTGGAAGTAGCTTTCGTTTTCCTGCGTCAAAAGTCACGGATCGCAGTGTACCAGTGTGCATAGCCCCTGCTGAACAGGGTAAGACGGAGAAATCCCGAGGCTGAGGCTGACTTAAAACTCTTCCATCAATTAATAATAATTAATAATTAATTGTGTATAATTTCTTGATAATGTCTTAATAGTATTGGACCTTTAAACAACTCAGAGCTTTATATTTAAGAACAGCACAGAAAAAATGACAGAAAAGACTCTAACTTTGTGTTAGTTTAGCAGGCGACACTTTTCTGCCTACATGTACAACTAGACAGGCTGCAGCGGAGATTTTGAACTATTTTTTTATGCCTTTTGCTACTTTAGGATGAACTCAGTGAGGAACAGGACACAATATTACAATATTTTACAATATTGAACGCTGCCGCCCTATTTTTAACAAACCAGTCCAGACGTGAACACATTACTCCTGTGCTGTCGTCACTCCACTGGTTTCCAGTCTGTTTTAGAATTGATTTTAAACTTCTGCTGTTTGTTTTTAACGCCATCCATGGCTTGGCCCCCTCTTACTTGTCTGAGATTTTAACTTTTCGCAATTGTGGCAGAGCTTTAGGCTCCTCGGGTCAGCTTCTGTTAGTGGTCCCTAGGTCAAGACTCAAACAGCGCTGCTCCCAGACAGTAGAACAAACTACCTCCTGACATCCGCACCCCTACTGACCTCAGCCTTTTTAAACAAAAGCTTAAAACCCACTTTTTTTTAAATTAGCATTTAATTCTGACTATAATACTGTCTCCTAGATGTCCTCTTTCTGTGTGCTCCTTTCTATGCACCTCTGGAAGGCTTTTAATGTCCTGCAGCGCTGCACCACTACAGCACTTTTAATTGTATCTCTATGTTTTATATGTGTTATGTATTGTTTTATGGCTTTGTTGAAAAGCACTTTGGGTACCATTTGGCTATTGTAAAGGGCTATACAAATAAATTTTGATATTTCACATGTATATAAATATACAATATTTTCATAGAAAGGGTCTCACTGTTCTGTTTGATTTTTAACTGTAGCCCTCTGAAATACTTAAATTTCTTCAAGGGACAATTTACTTGCAGAGTCCACAAAATTAGCCACCAAATCAGCACTCACCCTAAACATTAAGATATTAAGCAATAAAACAGCATTATAGGAGCAATAAGAGATGTTCAGGCAGACTGAGCTATCAGATAGATCTTCTGGTCTGTGCCTCATTCGACCCCGATGAGGTTCAGCAATGTTTCTTCTCCTCATGTCTGGCTGGGTGAACATAACTACGTAGTTGTAGCTTAAAACGAGCAAATTCACATTTTTCACGTCAGGCAAAGCTCTGCTGTGCTTCTTTCACGCACCAGGAATCATTTCTCCATTCAGCTGCTCAGAAATGCCATCCCTCCTTCTGAGGCACCTCTACAGCACTGGACTGAAACGCCATTCAGGACTCTTCCAGAAAGAGCAAACTACTGATCGACCAAGACTTCACTAGCCTGAAGTCTTAGTGCCACGTTTCTGTAAATTTTTATCGCTCTGTCTTCTACAAACTCAAAACATTTTATTTTAGATAAAAATGTAAATCTAATGCGGTTTTGAGGCTTGTACATCTTGTAAACACAAATGCAAGTGTAGATGTCCTCTCCCAGCAGATTAAATTGTACCTGGAGCTAACCTAAACACCTAAACACTGGCATTCATGGTGTGTCTGCACGGACAGGCCTGTGTGAGAACACTAGTCAAAAATCATTTTTCACCTTTTTTTCAAGAAGTTGGTGTCGACCAAAAATGTATCAATTTTACATCAATTTTTGAAGGCTGGGTAGAAGGAAGGGATTGGGGAGGGACACCTAGTTTTTGGCGGGGAGGGAAAATTTTTGAAGAGTTTGGAAGTCTCTCCATGTCATCACAAGTGGAGCTGGAAGAAACGTCCTGCAGGGTCTGATTTTTCAAAACTGTATCCTCCCGCAACCTTAGAGTTCAGAACCAAGACCCGGGCCGTTACCCGCAATTATCCCCACAGACCCGTAAATAATAAAGTGCGACCTGACCCGTGATCACAAAGTAAACACACAGCTGTTTATAATAACAGAGGCAGTAAAGATCACACTCACATCCAGTTCGTGCTGCACTCACAAATTAACAGCTGTAAATTGACCAAACTAAGAAGGTTTGTCTCATTGTTTAAAAAAATACTGTTATCTGGATATTCTTAAATCAATTAATTTTTTAAGATGTAGAGTTTAAAAATAAGAAAATATAAATACGTTTCATTCTCTACTTCTCTGTTACTCTAAGATACCTGCATTTTAATCATTTATACCCGCACCTATGATATAATATAGTTTTTTTTCTACCCGTAGATCTACATTTAAAGGAAAAGTCCTACCTAAGACAAATATGTTTGCAGTGATTTAATTAATTTATTGTAATCGTATCATAAAGAAATTAAAAATAGTAATTTTCATTGCGATCTCTAAGTCTGGGAGCGGCCATTTGTGCCCAAATATAGTAACCCCTCCCTCCTGCCATCTTCCAGCAGTGACGTCACGGTGCGGTAAGCCTAGCGCCATTCTCCCCGCTTTACAAGC